TTGTATCAATACTTATTCTAATTCTTATCCATTTGATTTTATATAGATTTTGCTTTTTGTTGTGATCACAAGAATTTGAATATTAACTTGAATATGTGTATACAATCTGTAACTCGACATTTTTAAACAGGTTAGGTTATGACAATAAATGAAAATTACGTAGTTAAATTTAATGTTGATAATTATTTGTTCTCCAGTCACTAACTTCCGGATTATTAATTATATTTCTTAAGGATAGCAATTAAAAAATCTAGAGCCATTCAGTATTAAGAATTTAGAATTACAAGTAGACACATGTTTGTTTCATATAGAATAAAATTAAAATAAGAAATTCTTTTTTTTCTGTCTTATAGATACAATTTTTTTTCTATGATTTTCTTGTAATTTAGATAAGTTTTCTTATTATTAACAATGGTTAATAATTATATAATTGATAATACTACAGTAATAGAAAGAAATTTTTTACTTTTAACAAATGTACGTTGTATTGTAAAATTTTATATATGGCCATTATTTGCTTTATTTGGTTTAACTGGTAATTGTTTATCAATACTTGTTTTAACACGACGTCGTCTTATACGAACAAGTACAAATAATTATTTAACAATATTAGCTGCATTTGATTCATGTTATTTAATAATTACATTGATACTTAATTTTGGTTCACATCCAACATTTTCTCAAAGTGCATTCACACAAACATTATTATTTCTTCTACGTCCTTTGGCTGATTTTAGTTCAAATACAGCAACATGGTTAATTGTTTGTTTCACTCTTGAACGCACATTAGCTGTAGCAAAACCTATTTATGCTAAACGTACATGTTCAGTACGACGATCACGTCATGTCATATGTACTTTATTAATAATATGTTTTTTAATAACATTACCAACTTATTTTGAAAATTATTTCATAAGTAATATAAATGACGTTGAAAATAGAAATATTACTTTTAACATAACACAAAATATAAATTTAACAAAACGAAAAGAATTTTTTGTTATATTACATCGTTCATATCTAGTATTTATTTGTGTTATTATTATATGGATACCACTTATTTTAGTTTGTATCTGTAATTCAATTCTAATATGGTAAGTTAAAACGAAAACTAAAGAAATTTTAATTATCCTTTCTTTAAGAAAAACATCAAGAAGAGTATTTTCAACCATGATTTCCTATGAAAATTTCTACAAACTCAATATGACTTCTTTCCGGATGAAAAAAATATTAATGAAAAAGATTATTATAGATACATATTATAAAAGGTGGCATGTCTGAGTACTTGTGCTCTACATATTTATTGTAATTATAGTATATTCTAAAGAGATTTTCTAAGTAGAAAAGTATAAAAGTGAATTTGTATTTGATTTCATCATTAATTGAATTTGAGAAAACATTAATTCGGATAAATTATGTCTCGTTTTATCATCATTCAATGCACGAAAAATATTATGAATAAAAACAGACGTCTAATATTAGTAAATTGATATAAATTTCAAATGTCTTAATCATTTTTTCTATTCTATGCATAGGGAAGTGAATTATCAGTTTATTGACTATCGACGGCACCGATTCATTGCACACTAGCACTAATGTTCACTAAAGCATTGGAACACACTAGTAAGACAAGGGTATATTTTGATAGAGGTAGTGTCTCAATATTGCAGCGAACACGGATGCTAATGTAATAAGCTGCATGCAAAAAGATACATTTTAAATTTTGAACTCATGAGAATGAAGCTTTTATGAAATTTTCTTAGTCTTCTAAAAAAGATATATCGTATCTAATTTAAATACAAATTTATATTGACATGCTAATTTTAGAAGAAAATAAATATTTAATATGATTCTATTTCTTTTTCATTTGACACAGACAATCCCTAGAAAAAAATTTATGAGATCCAGAAAAAAGTTATATGAAACTTTTTTGCACGTCATTTTGTTCTCTTTATCTCTTTCAAGGAATAACAGGAAAAATGATTCGTAAAAAAGAAAATTGTGTTACAGAATAATATGTATACTTTTCTAAAAAAAACAATCCAAAGAAATTTTACAATTTTTTTTTCTGATGTGAATTGATTAAATACAGCCCTCAGAAAAATTCCAAGACACTGAAGAATGGCTCTCCAAAATTTTATATTCCACTAGAACTAAACTTCGTATACCTTATAAGTATATTTACTGATTAAACTCTCGTTTTATATTATGTCGACGCAAAACTTCATAATACAAACACTTAACCATTAACAACACTTAGCATATATATATATAAACTTTAATTAGAATGAAATATAAGATTTTGAAGAACCATTCTTGCGTGTCTCGGAATTTTTTGTGACAGCTTTATGTGTAGCACTTCATAATAATTTTCAGTTATTATCTAAAAGAATAAAAAACAAGAAATCGAAACGAACTTTATGAATGATATTAAAATGGATCACATAGAGTAAAGCTTTAGGACTAGTTCGTTTAAAAGTCAACAATTGTAATATTTAGTGCTTAACGGACTTCAATTGATTGAGAAACAGAAGGCTTCAAATTATCAAGAAACCTCACAAGATTTCAAATGGCTTCAGAAGATTTCATGAGACTGAAATGAACTTCTAGAGAGCTTATAAGACTTCAGCATGAAAATTTACTCTCCATGCATCATTGTAATATCATCCATAAAGTTTGTTTTCATTTCTTCTTTTTAATCTCTTAGATAATAATTGAAAATTACTTCGCAGTGCCACACATGTATTTTCTTTAAAAAACAGACCAAATTTCTCGAACGAAGTTAACAATAGTATCCAATCCATTTGAATGAACCGAAGCGGAGATATCACAATTTTTTTGATCGTAGTATTATTTAGAACCCAACTTACATACTAAAAAGATCACTTCTATTTATTTTGATTCTAATAAAATAATCATAAAATGTTCTTGTAACTGACCCTTATGTTAGACCTGTTTACAATACTTGCAAGATAAAAGCTCACATATATTCTGTTTCATGTATAGATCTCTCTTTCTCATAAAGTATAAAGTTCTTGTAATATTATCTGCGAAATAAAAACGAAATTTTAACATAGTAATTCTGTTCTTATAAAATTATAACTCATAGAATATTTTTATCAAAACAAAATCAGATTTAATTAAACTGAATAATCTCAGATAAAGATATACTCAAATGTTACTATCAAATTTTCTTTTTTTTTCTTTATACAACAAACAAAAGGTATGTTCATCATTCTCGCCGTTTTAATGGTTGTCTACAATTAACAGCTGTCCACAACACATTTCCTAATTCATCAGTATTATCAATAAATAAATCTGACTATTCGACAAATAATTATCATAAAACATCATTTTTATGTACATCAAATATTCCATTAAAAAATTCTTATTCATTTCCTTTACGCCGTCATAGTCGTTCGTATGTTCAAAAACGTAAAGTAACAATTGTATTAATATTTTGTTTATTTGTTGCATTATTATTATGGACACCTCAAAGTTTATCATTAACATATGAAACATTAATTGAAAGTTATTCGGAAATGCCATCTGAACGTCGAACTATATTACTTATATTTAATAATTTTGCAAATTTATTTCTTTGTATAAATGCTTCAATTGATTTTATACTTTATTGTTTTCTATCTGAAAAATTTGCTCGTACATGTCGACAAATGATTTGTCGTACATGTTCAAATGATGAAGTAAATTCTTGTCAACGTTCACGTATAATGTCACTTGATCGTACATCATTTATTTTAACAAATTTATCAAACAATCCTTATCAACAACAATTAATAAATAATAGAATAAATAATTATGATACACAATTATATCATATTTATCATCATTCATTAACAAATCAAAAAAATAAAAAATCGAAAATAAATTTTATTCAAAGATTAACAAAAAATAATCAAATTGATAATCAAATTTCTTATCGCACAGCATTAATAGGAAAAAAGAAAAAAAGATTTTCAAGTATTTAAAAAAATAAATACTGAAAATCATTATACAAATAATGAACTTAATGTTTCATAAAAGATTTCAATTTGTTTCAAATAGACAATTATATTTTGATATTAGATTTAATGTTTAACTTTCATATACAAATATATTGTTTGCTTTTTTTTTGGAATATTTATTGTTGTTAAGTATGTGTAATTAATAAATTTGTGAACTTTTGGATTGAAAATCAAGAAGTGACAAATCTCAAATTGGTACTAATTTTTGAAGTTCATGTGTCGAAATTTCTACAAATTGAAAAAATCCTACGCACTATTATAAGTCTGACACCTGTTATTCTCAATTGCTAAAGTCTGTAATGGGGAGGGGGGGGGGTTCTGTAATAGGGGGCTCCGTTGCTAAGCGTCTGTAATAGGGTGGAGGGGGAGGGGAGAACCTAGAAAACTTGAACTTAAAACTTACGCTCACTATGATTTTCTTCGAAAACATCTGTGAGTTCCACAAAAGTAATTCTTGATTTTTCTGGCTAATTTCTTCCATGTTTATTCGTAAAGAAATGATAAAATGTTTTTAAAATGAAAACTGAACTAGAATTTTACAGATTGTTTTTAATATCATAAACTAATTGATATTTATTTGCTATTTAGTTCAACTGAAGTAACTTCGACAAATTTTTTTATCGAAGTTATAATTTCGTCTAATGTTAACGTCGAACTTGGATAGAGTGATTATTAACTCAAACCACAAAAGAAATCCTTTAAAATACAAAACAAAACCATTGCTATGTAATCTTGTTCATAATAATGTCAAAAAAATAAAATTTTCTAAATATTGACGTGCATGTTGAACAAAGAGACAGAGAGAGAAAAAAAAAATATCATTCTATCAACTATACTTTCATTTGTTGACAGTTCAAATTAAAGAAAAATAGATCATTATTTTCATTGACGATATCGGCCAAATACAACACATTAGTTTATCTATATGAATATTGACAGTTATAAGTTAAATGAATAAATACATTGAAAATAAAAATGGAAAATTCATGTATTCAATTAAATGATTTACCTGATGAAATTCTTATGATTATTTTTAAAAAATTGACTAATATGGCAGTACTTTATTCCTTAATAGATGTTAATAAACGATTAAATAAAATTGTACATGATACTGCTTTTACGAATCGTTTGACTTTGTACGCATCTACAACAGATGGTTTTATTGTTCCATTACCGGATTACATACTTGATCGATTTTGTTTACACATCTTACCTAAAATTTATCATAAAGTCAAATGCCTTAATCTTGAACCAGTTTCAATCAAACGTATTCTACTTGCTACGAATTATCCTAATTTAACTGGACTTGCTTTATATAATGTTCAAGATGGAATAGTGCTGGATCTTTTGACTGGTAAGATATTTTATTTTGATTCTTCTAATCATAGATATATTAAAAGCATAAGTCAATTAGAATTATTTGAATAAATCAATCTAATTTTATTAATTAGACGTTTACACATTATAATAATTCGAGAATAGTTTTCTATTTTATTTTCTATTAATTTATTAATGTATTTCTGGTAATCGAAAAGTAGTGATAGAGGTAGTTTAATTCCATATGAAAAACCTCAAATATACTTTTCCTATAGATATTGTATGTTAGAAAAAACAATCGAAAAGATGTTTTTTCTTATAAAATGTGATGGTAATATCAGATCATATTTTATCGTTTATGTGTATTCCCTTCTTGACGTTACCTTTATTCTTCTTCCATACATATTACGGTATATAAAAAGTAGTTGCAGTAGAACGCAAAAATAAATACAGAAACAAATTCATCAATTACTGTTTATTATCAGATTATATACAGAGAAAATTTCTTTAAGCTTTTGATGAGAAATTAAAATACTTTCACCATTATTTTTCGATTATCTTATACAAATGAAAAGAAACTTATGGTCAAAGATATCATTTCCAATTATACATAAGTATTTATATTAAAATAGACAGCTTCAATAAGAGTTTTCAAACAAGAAAATGTAGAATAAAATAATTAATAAATATTAATGATTGTGATAAAATATAATCCATAAAAGAAAAATAACAAATCTATAAATTATAGTATTATTGAAAAAATAACAAAGCATACATACTAGGAGTGTCACGCACCATCGAGAGCCAGGCAACAAAATCGATTTTTGACATCTGAACCTAAGTGGTAGCGTGCATTAAAACTACTAAATATTTGCATTTAGATACACCTTCGATTCTGATTACAAGCGACTAATCATCTCATATCAGTCAGTACAAATCAGGTAAAATAGATGAACATCACTAATAGAGCCCTACAAATAAAATGGATTTTTCAATTGAAATTCTAATTATATTCATTAGATATAGTACATGTTATTCAGGGCTATATGTTTACAATATATGATAGGCATTTTTCACATTCTGAAGTGCTTTCGGCTCCAAAAGGGCTACAAACCTACTACTAGTAATATACTAATGACTTGTAAAATAATTACTTATCTTTCAGATCGATTAACTCTTTAACAGACAACATAAGCTCAAATATATATATTTTTAGATTTGTATATCGATTATTTCGTTCTAAAAATAATTCATAAAAAGTTTCCAATTTTTAGAGTTCGTATCGGAAACCGTTGATAATTTATTGAGGGAACATCTCCAGATTTTAAATCGTTTCTCGATCAAGACTATATTCATTGAGTGCTGTCAAGCATTGAAAAAATTTAGCATAATTTGATTTTCTATGAGTTCGTCCTTATGATATAACATTTTACTGAATTTTTCAACGATATCTTCTAGTCGTCTTTAGGTCATGTTAATAGGTGACTTTTGACTCAAAACTTTGCATATATAAGGTTCTTAATATGACTAACGGGTGATCCGAAAGTTTTCGGACAAATTGTTTGCTCATTTTAGGCCCACTTGAAAATATTTCAGACGAGTCGAAACCTATAGATTAGAACCAGAATTTTGTGCTCTTTCAGAATATGGGCTTAGAAATTTTGTGTCAGTTTTTGTTCGAGAGTAATGAGGAAATCTTTGAAAGGCCTGAAAAATCAATTTGGACGACGCATAAACAGCTTTTCCTTAACCCATATCTATCCCTTTTCGAAGATGCTAAAAGTTATCGAACACGATAGTTTTGTAGAGCGGACACTTATTTACAAAATGTGATATTGAAGTAAGTTGTAGCTTTTACAGAAGTGAAGTTATATGTATTTTGTCAGGAGCTACTTTTTGTGGAAAACGCCTCTTGGTCAAAAAGTCGATTTCTCGAAAATGAGAGTATAGGAAAAACGAAAATTGAGATGTCTTGCCTAACAACCAAAAAAACTTCAATAGTACATTTTGTAGGGCAGATTTTGCTCTACCAGCTGATCGAGTAATAAAGGTTCCAACTTTTAGTTTCGAATCGCAATAGTTAAAGTATAAAAAAGTGCGAAAAAATTTCCCGTCCAAACTAATTTTTCAGGTCTTTTAAAGATTCCCTCACTACTCTCGAACAAAAACTGACACAAAATTTCTAAACCCATATTCTGAAAGAGCACAAAATTCTGGTTCTAATCCATAGGTTTCGACTCGTCTGAGATATTTTCGAGTGGGCCTAAAATGAGCAAACATTTTGTCCGGAAACTTTTGGATCACCCGTTAGTTTATTCTGAAAGTTTCAGTTTTTTTT